GCCCCGCGCAGCCGCAGCTCCGCCCAGGAAAGGCGCCCGCGGGCCACTTGGCCGTACAGTCTAGGACGGCGTGGAGGACTCCTGGCTGTCCTCTCGGTGGCTGGCTGTCAAGTGTGCGCAGGGGCTGCTCGCAAGGCGATGCTTCCGAGGCATGAACGAGACCTCGCCACGTCCGAAGCCCCTCGGGCCCCCCTCGCCCGCGGCCAGCCTGGCTGCCCAAGGGGCGAGGAGAGCGACTCCACCTCCCCTGACTGCCGGGGTTAGAGGCGATGTCAGGCGGAGCCTGGCCCTCCGCCTGCGACCACCACCTGCTCCTCCAGCCTCCCGGGGTCCCACTGAAACCTCCAACTCTGCAGAGACATTCTGCATCTCCACGCCCTTCAAATGACGTTCCTGTCGCTTAGAAAACCGTTCCCCATCTTCTCTGCCCCGCCGACCTCCCGATAATCCTGGAAAGTTAGCTCAGGTGTCATCTTTGGCGGCCTCCCCTTCTGCTCCTGTGGCCACCGGGCCAGCGTCCCTGCTGGGGCCCTCCTAGCACCCGACTGGGGCAACTCTTACAGCCAAGGTCATACTTCCCCTACAGAGGACCTCTCCGAGGATGGAGGTGGGTCCCCCGAAAGGAGCATGCTTGTGGATGGGATGGGGAGGGTGGGACACAGATTAAGACACTTGCCCAAGATGGACCAGCAGGTTGGAGGCAGAGGCGTTCTGGCCATGCCCCCAGAAGCCCACTGCCTCCTGTCTCCCGAGGTGTTACAGAAGAAGAATGAGGACAGAAGGGCGAGGATTTTCGCCCCTATCTTTCAGGCTCCGAGAGCTGAATTCCAAGGAGGTGCTGTGAAGAAGGCAGCGCTGATCTCAGCCCCAGAGCCACTCTCACCCAGAATGGGGAGCGAGTGGGGGAGTGGAAGCACTTGGTGGTAGGGGCCCCGGGAGTGCGGCCTGGAGAGGCGACATAGCTTCATGAAGGAGCAGGGAGGTCCCAGCTGAGCCCCAGACAACCCCACCTTCTCACAGCCTGCCAGGGCTGCCAGCGATGTGAGCAGCCCAGGGGACGATGCAATAAGTGGAACCCACCTGCCTTTTGTCTCCACCTCACAGGCCAAATTCAGGCTGGGGGCAGGCTTGGGGCCAGCACTAAGAGGAGGGTGGGGTCACAGCAGGAATGGCAGAAGACACTGGGAGGTGAGGTTTATAGAGTTGCAGCCTTGAACTTGGCAAACCAGGGAGTGGAAAACCAAAACCCTGCTGCCGTCGAGTCAATTCTGACTCATAGCAACCCTGGAGGACAGAGTAGGACTGCCCCATATGGTTTCCAAGGAGCAGTGGTGGATTCGAACTGCCCAACGTTTGATTAGCAGCTGAGCTCTTAACCACTGCACCACCAGCGCTCCGGAGGTGTGTGAGGGGGAGCCCAAATTTGTCCAGGAGGAGGGAGCAGGTGGGGTGGGGAGACTTCGTGGCCACGTGGGCCCCTGCTGGACACTCAGGGCCGTCGCCACCCAGCTAAGCGCTTCCTGTGCCTGGGGGCTGGAGGTCCAGAGCCACATTCCCAGAACCCCTGCATCTGGGTTTCAGTCGGACCCCACCAAGGCAAAGGCAGTCCTGGCAGATCTTAGGACAGTGGACACCTGTAAGACATAAGCAACCCGGGGCCCTGACTTTCCCCAGCAGGAGGCAGGGAGAACGGTGGAGGGAGGTGCCTTCCATACCTGCTGACCTCAGGTTGGAGGGAGGGGGGCAAGATGAAGCAGCAGCTGAGAGCCACGTGCGGGGAGGGGAGCCACTGCCCAGGGAATGGACTTCCTGAGGGCCCCCGCCAGGACAGCCGCTGCCTGGGAGGAGGACACAGGCTCCTGCAGGCCAGGCTGGCGGCCCCTCTGGGCCCTCCCTGGGATCGGCCTGGAAGCCTTGGGGGCTCTGGCTGCCTAATCCCCTCCCTGTGGCACATGGTGACCCTCAGGTGCCCACCCTGTCCCAGGGGGCAATCATGGTCTGGTGGGAGCCAGCACCCCTTGCAGCAACCAGAAAGGATTTATTGGGGACACCGGGCACGCAGAGCTGCGCAGCGGCGGGGAGGGTCGGCGGGCAGGAGCCCTTCCCTCGGGAGCCTTCCCGTGGGCCGCTGTTCCTCGCCGTCCGGCCCGCCCGCCCGCCCGGCAGCCGCGCCTACTCCCGGTAGTGGATCCTCTGGTGCTGGATGAGCTGTGAGCTCTGGCCGAAGGCCTTGCCGCAGGCGCTGCAGGCGAAAGGCTTCTCGCCCGTGTGGGTCCGCAGGTGGCGGAAGAAGTGGGAGCGGCCGCGGAAGGCCTTGCCGCACTCGGGGCACTCGTAGGGCTTCTCGCCCGTGTGGATGCGCTGGTGCTCGATGAGCACGGAGCTCCAGATGAAGGCCTTGCCGCACTGGCTGCAGGCGTACGGCTTCTCGCCCGTGTGCAGCCGCTGGTGCCGCACCAGGTTGGAGCTCTGGCTGAAGGCCTGGCCGCACTCGCCGCACTTGTAGGGCTTCTCGCCGTTGTGGGTGCGCAGGTGCTGCGTGAAGTGCGAGCTGTGGCTGAAGGCCTTGCCGCACTGGCCGCACTCGTAGGGCTTCTCGCCCGTGTGGATGCGGTGGTGCTGGATGAAGCCCGACCAGCCGCGGAAGCGCTTGCCGCACTCGTGGCAGGCGTAGGGCTTCTCGCCCGTGTGGATGCGCTGGTGCTTCAGCAGCAGCGAGTTGTACTTGAAGCTCTTGCCGCAGGTCTCACAGCGGTGCGGCTTCCCGCCCCGCGCGCCGCCCTGCCGGTCCCCGAACCCCACGCCCAGGCCAAAGCCGCTGCCCAGCTCAGGGCTGCCGCCGCCGGCGCCGGTCCCGGGGGCTCCCTGGGGCAGCAGCGTCGTGCGCCAGGCGCCCCTCTTCTGCGTGCGGGGTCCTGCCCCTGGTGGCTGGCCCGCCGACCGATCCAAACTGGCCGCTGGCTCAAAGCTGTCCCCACACTTGGGTCTCCGGTGAAGGGCCCTCAGCAGGCTTTTGAGCACCCCGGTGTCCTGGCCCACCTCCACCTCAGGAACGTCCGGCTGGGGAGACGGCGCTGCCTTCTCAGGCTCCGACTCGGAATCTGCAATGAGGAAGTGGCAGAAAGCATCACGCACCCACCACGTCTGTGCAGCACCTCATGTGCCTCAGGGCTCAGCGTCCTGGGAGGAGGGGTGACGAGGGCCCTGTCTGGTGGAGGGGTGAGCAGAGGTCCCCATTTGCACGGAGAAGCCAGGGAGGCTAACTCACTCGGTCGCTGGGGGAGGTAGAAGAGGATGCACTGGGCAGCCCGGGGGGCCCCTCTGGCAGGCAAACGTCTGGTTCTGATGGCTAATGCACAGGGAGCCTCTCCTGAGAAGAGCCTGGGGCCAAGAGCTCAGGGACGAGAACCTGCATCACCTGCCAGGTGAGTCACCTGGACCAACAGGGAAGCCGAGGGCAGGGGCTCCAGAGGGGTGACTGAGTTGGAAGTAACGAGCATTAGTTACAGCCCTGAGACCAGGGACTGTAGTGCACCCCAAAAGCCTTCCTCTGGTAAGCTGCCCCCAGAAAAGAGACCAAATGGAACGCTGAAAGAGTTGTTCCCAGATGGGATGAACTTACTACGTAAATAACATGGATCTGAGCACTTAGGAGTGGGCTGTGGTGGGCAGTGGTTAGGGGGCTGGCTGTGGTGGGTAACGGCTAGGGGGCGGGCTGTGGTGGGTAGTGGTTAGGGGGCTGGCTGTGGTGGACAGTGGTTAGGGGGTGGACTGTGGTGGGTACTGGCTAGGGGTGGACTGTGGTGGGTACAGGTTAGGGGAAGGGCTGTACTGGCTAGCGGTTAGAGCGGACTATAGCGGGTAATGGTCGGGGGTGGGCTGTGGTGGGTTACACGGTGCGCCGCCCAGACTCCCCCAGCAATGGCGTGCTGCTAATGGCTCACAGCTCACTGCCTCCCTGGGAAATGCCCTAGACCAGTGGTTCTCACCGGGGGTGGGGTGAGAAGGTGCCCCTCAGGGGATACGGAACACTGGCTGCGGGCAGTCTGGCTGTCACACTGGGGGAGGGGGCACTACAGGCCCCTAATAAGGAAGGGCCAGGGATGCTCTTAAACACCTACAGTGCGCAGGACAGCCCCCGTCACAAAAACCACACGACTCAAAATGTCAACAGTGCTGTTGAGAAACCCTGCATAGGAAGGCAGCTTCCTTATCTGGGGTTCTGTCCGCTCTCCAGGAACAGCCCGAGTCCAGTGACCATGGGGGACAAAGGCCGGGCTGCCATGCCTCGGTGGGGAGAGCTCTCCAGGCCCTCCCAGCTCAGAGCCCCCATGGGACCGGCCGAGGCCTCTATGGCACCTGCACCAGCTCCTCCCCGCCCCTCCCCTTCCCGGGGCACTTCCTAGTAATCTTCCCGACACAGACCTGAGACCCCTGCCCTCAGGGTCTCCCAGCTGGTGTGTGAAGAGCCCAGTACAATGAAATCCTGCTGATGTTTACTAAGTGCTGATCACACACTGGGCTGGGGACAGAAGAAGACTCCCTGAGGGCCTTCAGTCACGAGAGAAGAGGGGTAGGCGGGGGAACAGTGAGGGGCTGAGGGCCTTCAGTCACCAGAGA